CCACCTTTTCGCTCAAATAAAGATTAACTCTGGGGAGTTCAAAGTTCTAAGTTAAAGAAATCAGAGTATTTAACTTGTGATTCATTCTTATAGTGTTAAACTCCGGTGAGTTCAAAGTTCCAAGTTAAAGAAATTAGAGTATTTAACTTGTGATCCACTTTTATATTATGAAGCTCTGTGAGTTCGAAGCTTCAAAAGTTATTTAGCAGAAATGTTTGGTTCTACTAATTCTCCCCTCCGATAAGTAAAATCTGCAATAACGATTGGAATTAGTGACCAATCCCGTGACGTCATATAAAGAGATTCGTGACGTAGGCTAGAACTCTAATTATTCTAGTTACTCGGACCAGGTCTTCCACGCCTCGATCGTAACCTTACCGTTATTAGGGTTTAGTTAGAGTTGTTTAGTTTGAATTAGTGTAGTGTTGAAGTGTATTCTTGTATTGAAGGGTAGAATTGCCCCTTCACAGCGTACGGATGTTAAGTTTTAGGCTACTGTAACCGTTGTAGGGGAGCTTAATAGAATTATGTGGGTAAAAAGCCAATTTAACCCCAACGGTGTACGTGGAGATGAAGGCAAATGGAGAGCGAAGTGAGTCTTTTATATTTGTATTTAACAAAAGAACCAATGGGATCCTATAACGAATACTTAATATCGGCAGGGGATCATGAGGGGGTGATGCAATGACGGGTGATGTCGTTAACAATGAGGATCAAGGGGGTGATATCAAGAACAATGGTAATAAATTAAGGATATCCTATTAAGGATGATCTTAAGTGTGATAATAAAACGATAGCGAATGATGATCAAGTGACATAGGGGATAACTTTGGGTTCACGTAATGAGTCAACGAAGTCAAATATCCGATCATAGGTGTCGTTCTCTACACAAGTCTCTACTGTGAATGACAATATTTTATTCCACAAATGGTTCAGAATCCGAGTCTTAATAAACCAAGTCGAAGTTACTAGTCAATTCAGTCCGTTGAATTGAGTCTCGAAGAGGTTTATTAAAGTTCCAAGTCGAATTCGAAAGATAATATACAACAGGATATTCAGATAAGTATATTCTTTATTCAAACGAAAATAAACAAATTATTTAAAGATGGAATGGTATTCTTTATTTAATCATAAGGTAGAACTAACAAATTCTAATCCCTACTGCTTTGAGTATTGGGTCTTTAAATACATTTTTAATTTTGGGAGCGTTCGCACCCTAAAGACTGCATTTACATGGCTACAAGAGTGACTACACTACTGCTGGGATGTTTACACCCCCCATGGGATGTTCACACACCCATTTCTTAGTCATTTTCCTGTGATTATGTGAGTGGGCCACATCAACAGGTTCAAACGGCTGTGTTTGCACTCATGGCCATGTTTATACACCTTGAGTAACAGTCATATGATTAAGCCACCAACCCAATTTATCATTTCTATTTTAGTATAAGTTATGAATCATTCAAAAAAAAAATAATAAATTTCCAAAATTGGGCATTCTTACCAAAATGGATAGGGAATTTCAAATAGCTATATATATACAGATAATTTACCAAGAAAAATAATTTTATTTACAAGAAGTTAAAAGAAAAATAAAAACTAAGTTTTTAATTCATTACATATCTCCCTTTTGTGGTTAAGCCCCTATGAAATTAGTTATTTTAAGAATTTCCTCAACTTCTTGCTAGATTATTAATTGAGTTTTAGTCTTCAAAAGTAAAATATTTTCTTTACAGATTTAGTAAAGAATATATGGGGTATTATATCGAACTAGAAAAAGATAGAAGGGTCCTAAATAGAAAATAAAGTTTAGGTTTGTTGGGTGGTCAAGAGGGTTTCCTTAGCAATGGTAGGTAATAATTTTTTAACTACTTTTTAGCTTCTTTACTCTATAATTTTTCTTCCAACAATATGCCCAGATTATAGTAATAGGATAATAGAAAACTATAATCCTTTTTTTGAGTCATGATCTTATGACAAAAGAAGATCATCTTTTTTTTCTGTTTTTCCTGAAGGTGGTTCAGCAGGATGAATAGTATTATTCTTATAACAAAGTTCACTAAGAAGTTCAGATATTTGGAGATATAATCTATTAGCTTCTTTTATTTGTTTATTTAGAGTTTTTAAAAGGTATGATCTAAGATTAACAATTATTTTGATACACAATATTATGTATAAAAAATAATATGTTAGCTTTCTCTAGTTGATTCTTAAAGAGGACAAGATTCTTTTAAATTTTATAGAAACTTTAGCAGAGTTCATTATTCTAATTTAGTTAAAGATTTTTTTCTTTAAAAAGACCCAAGAAGTAGCTTTTTATACTTGTTATAAAAATCATAGCTAGTATAATATGGTAAAGATTAAGATTATTGCTAGAAGTAGCAATATGACAGCCAGTTTCTATGATATCTCTTTTTAAGCATATGATTGTTGATCATTCATAACCCTGTTAGATAGTATATCATAGATATGATAGGTCTTGGATTTTGGAGTTTTAATTTAGTACTGTGTGATGTAGCTAATTTATTTCTATATAAGAGAACCTGATTGCCAATTTCATATAATTCTAGTTTATTCTTTTTTTATAATATTCTTTTTGGCAATCTTGTGTTTTTCTTATTTCTTTTATAGCCTGTTGCTATAATTTCATTAATTCTCTATATATCTCCTCAATATATTGATATATTTGAGACTCTAATTTTTCTTTTATATTGGGTTTAGTTAGAAATATCATGAGATCTGTTTTAATCAGGAGAATAACATTTTATATCTATATAACAAAAAAAGATTTATATTCTATGGTGGAGTAGTGGGTAGTTTGATAAGCAAGTAAAGCAGATATTACACATTTGTCTTACAATTATTAAAATTAATTGATATACTTATTTAACATTTTACAAAGAGTATAGTAAACCATTTTACCAAACTATTAGTTTGTAGATGATATGCTATAGACTTATAATAGACAATATATATTTTCTTACAGAGAGTGGTAACTACTTGATTGTGAAAATAAAATATCAGTTAAACAATAATTCTTTTAAATAATTATGCCTGCAAATAAGGTTTTTAAAAATAAAATCAGCAACTATTTTGGTATTAGCTCTTGCAATAGAACAGACTTTTAGCTATTTTGTAAGATACTCATAATGTATTGATTATTTTTGGAGATTATTAGAAAAGGTTCTACACTATTAATCCTATATAATCAAATATTTGATTAATCTTAATAAGATAAAAGGATCTTTACAGTTATAGATGCTTTCTTTTTTAGTATTATTCACAAATTCAAATATATTTATTAATATTATTTGCTATTTTAGATTAATAATATCAGACCCAATTTATTGATAAATTGCTTCAATACAAAATGGCTAAAGAGTAAAGTATTATGAAGACTAAATAAGACTGCTTAAATTTTATTCTTTTTTAAAACTCTAAAAAAAACAGAAAGTGTTATATGAGGTAGTTTTATCTAAGAGCT